ACCCATTTGGCCACTCGGCCTGATAGTTCGGGCTTGTGCAAAATATTACGAAGTGGGTAAATGGTTAGTACGCATATGGGGTGACATTGAAAGTATGGTCTTAACTTTCTAGAGGCGCTTATCAGTGCAAGTGCCAATTTTTCCAAGTGTGGATATCTAGTTTCTGCTTCTCCTAAGGTTCGACTTACATAATAAATGAGAAATTGCGTACCTTGCTCTTCTCGAACTAGGACAACACTTACTGCGATTTTCGATACTGCCAAGTACAAGTAAAGTTTCTCATCTGCCTTTGGAGTGTGAAGCAGTGATGGGCTCGATAGGTATCGCTTTAATTCCTCTAATGCCTATTGGCATTCCGGGGTCCAGGCGAAATCGTTCTTCTTTTTGAGTAGAGAGAAAAATCTGTGGCTTCGATCCGACGACCTCGAAATAAATCGGCCTAAGGCAACTATCCGTCCAGTTAATCTCTGCACGACTTTTACATTGTCCATGACGGTGATGTCTTCGAAGGCCTTGATTTTATCGGGGTTGATCTCGATCCCCCAATTTGATACCATGAAGCCAAGGAACTTGCCTGAACCGACCCCGAAAGCACATTTCTCGAGGTTGAGCTTCATGTTGTATTTCCTTAAAATCTCGAAAGTTTTCTGCAAATGAGTCAAATGGTCCTCTGCACGCAAGGACTTAACTAGTATGTCATCAATATAAACTTCCACTAATTTACCTATTTGTTCTTCGAACATTTTATTTACTAGGCGTTGGTAAGTAGCTCCTGTATTTTTTAGCCCGAAGGGCATTACATTATAACAATATGTTTCATACTTAGTGATAAATGAAGTCTTTTCTCGGTCCTCCGGGTTCATTTGGATTTGATTGTACCCGGAATAGGCATCGAGAAAAGTAAGAATCTCGTGGCCGGACGTGGCATCGATCATGCGATCGATGTTAGGCAGTGGAAAAGAATCTTTGGGGCACGCCTTGTTTAAATCCTTATAATCTACACACATTCTAAGTTTGTTCCCTTTTTAGGGACTACAACTACATTGGCTAACCATTTGGGATATTTCACCTCCCGAATGGACCCTATTTTAAGAAGTTTAGTTACCTCGTCCTTTATGAATGCGTGCTTTACCTCGGGTTGGGGTGTTCTCTTTGGCTTCATCGGTTTGAACCTAGGGTCCAGGCTTAGCCGATGTGTTGTTATCTCCAGTGGGATCCATTTCATGTCTAAATGGGACCAAGCAAAATAATTTATGTTATCAATAAAAAATTGAATAAGCTTTTTCCTGAGTTCGGGGATTAATCCCGTTCCCAGGTATACCTTTCGCTCGGGCAGGTACTCGATCAATATAACATGTTCTAGCTCTTCGACCGTTGATTTGGTGGCGTCAAAATCTTCGGGAACAATAAAAGTTCGAGGGGTCAGAAAATCCTCTTCTGCTTCTTCTGTCTCCTGCTTCCCCGATTCGGTCGAGGCTGGTGGTTGTGATTGCTATTTGACTTCCTATTTACCTTTGATGCTCGACCTTTTCGAGGTTGATAGTGTTGATATCGGTGTTACCTTATCGACCGCAAATATTTCCTTTGCACCATGCTGCTCCCCGTATACTATTTTTACACTGTCCGACGTCGGGAATTTCATCATTTGGTGGAGAGTCGAAGGGACTACCCTCATATTGTGGATCCAAGGCCATTCGAGCAGGGCATTGTAACTCATGTCGCCCTCGATTACATAGAACTTGGTATCTTGAATGGTTCCAGCCATGTTCACCGGTAGAATAATCTCCCCTTTAGTTGTTTCACTGGCCATATTGAAGCCGTTTAAGAGCGGAGATGCAGGCATGATTTGATTTTGTAGGTCGAGCTGTTTCACGACCCTCGATCGGATGATATTCACCGAGCTACTTGGATCCACTAAAATACGCTTAACTTGAACTTTATTCAATAAGATAGAAATTACCAGAGCGTCATTGTGGGACTGAGAAATGCCTTCTGCTTCTTCGTTGTTGAATGATAAAGTGCCTTGAGGCACATAATCTCGGGTTCATTTTTCCCTAGTGATTGATACCTAAGTGCGTTTGAATATGGGTCCATGTGGAATGTCGACCCCACCGACGATCATATGAATGACATGTTGGGGTTCCTCCTGTTCATTTTTCCTGTTGGCGTCCCTTTCTCTGAAATGATTCTTGGCTCGATCGCTGAGGAACTCTCGAAGGTGGCCCTCATTGAATAGAAGGGCTATCTCCTCCCTTAATTGCCTGCAATCTTCGGTCTTGTGACCATGCGTGCCATGATACTTGCACATCAAATTTGGGTTTCTTTGGGAAGGATCGGTTTGTATGAGTCTGGGCCACCTAGTATCTCTGATCCTTTCGATTGCCGATACAATGCTCGATGCATCGATGCTAAAGTTATATTTCGATAACCGAGGTGCCTCTGTGGGATCGGCATACTTGTCAAAACCACTTTTGCTCATAAGTCCCCAAGAATTCTATCCTTGATCACTTCTTCGATTGTTCCGGGCGGAATTGCGTCCTGAACCATTGTTCCTTCGATCTGCGGTATATGGTTGATATTGGTCTGTGTTAGACCTTGGCTCCCTTTCGACTTACCTCAGGTTTTTAACTACCGACCTATTTGGATGTACTGAATCGGAAGGGGCTCCTAATTGGTCGTCCTCGACCCCGATCTTTGATTGATAGCGATTGTGCACATCTGCCCAAGTTACAGCTGGATACTCGATCAAATTTTGTTTCAACTGACGTGATGTTATTGAACTCTGCTCGTTCAACCCTTGGGTGAAATCTTCAACGGCCCAATCATTTGTGACCGGTGGCAATTCCATGCGTTCCATTTGAAATCGGGACACGAACTTCGTCAGCATTTCATTATCCCTTTGTCTTACCTTGAAAAGGTCTGATTTTCTCGTTGCGACCTTTATGGCCCCGGTGTGTGCCTTTACGAAAGAATCTGCTAACATGGAAAATGAGTCGATAGAATTTGGTGGCAGGTTGTGATACCAAATCATTGCTCCCTTCGAAAGGGTCTCTCGTGAATTTTTTCAACAGCACAGATTCGATTTCATCATCTTCTAAATCGTTACCCTTGATGGCGCATGTATATGAAGTAACATGCTCGTTGGGATCGATGGTCCCATTATATTTGGGTATGTCTGGCATACGAAACTTCTTTGGAATAGGCTTCGGAGCCGCACTTGGAGGAAATGACTTTTGTACAAACTTCTTCGAATCCATCCCTTTCAAGATTGGCGGTGCTCCTGGTATCTGATCAACTCGAGAGTTGTATGTCTCCACTTTTTTATCGTTAGCTTCGATTCTTTTCTCCCCTGATTCAATTCTTTTGGTGAGCTCCTCGAGCATTTTCATTACCGCAGGATCAGTCCCTGATTCGTTACCATTCGACCTTTTCGGTACTAGCTCGGTACGACGAGTAATTTCCGGTTCGACCCTATTCGGAGCTCTATGTTGATTTTGTAACTGAGCAATAGTGGCTTGCTGAGCCTGAAGCATCTCGAATATCACTTGGAGACTGACTCCTTCGTCTCCTCTGCCATGTGTTTCTTGTCCACTAGATCGGCCTTCTCTGCGTACACTCCCATCGAGATCTGTGCCTAGGTCCGTGTTTGGAGCAACGTGCGAACTGACATTGACTGGGTTGGCAATCGGTGCTCCCCGAGATTAGCCTGTGGCACCTCGACTCCTGGAGCAATCACATTTTCGTTTTCACCGTGGAATCCGAGGCCATTGTCACCGTGTGTGGATGCGTTTTGTGAGTTTAACATGTTTTAACCTGAAAGCAAAGATACTTGACAAGAACAAGCGTAAAATAGTGTGTTTTACTAGAATCAGTACTGAACAATCACTATTATCCTTAGATTCACAGTGGGCACCAAACTGATTACCCTAAAATTTGAGTAACAATTAAACTTATATTGTGGTTTTAAGGATATGTGATTTAAACCAGTACCAATTAATAAACAACGAATTAAATAGATAAATTGGACAATAAAATAAATCAACCCGGTCTGCAAACAATGCCTCGACCTCGATTCGAGATAGTCTCGAGGTTAGTTAATAAGAACAGTAGAGGATGAAATAAACAACGATGAACAGTAAGTAAAACAAAGAAAGCAGCGTATGTGTGTATTCTTATCAGTGAATAATGATTCTCCCCCTTACAAGTGAATGGGATCCCTCTTTATATAATAGAGGAATCATAAATAAGGTACAACTCTAATAACGAAAGTAGATCCCATGATTGGCACTAATAACCATTTTGATTTGATCTGTTCCGGGATTTCCGCCGTGATCTTCGACCGGTTACTGATATCTCGCCATTCCGTTATTACGCCTTACTCAAAGTCAGTCATGCTTGATTTCGATTGTTGCTGGCCTCGATCTCAATGAACACTTCGATCTCCAGGCTTGATGTTCTATCTTCGAGCTCGAGCCCGATCTATTATGAGGTTACCCTCGAGGCAACTCCCCTGCCAACGAAATCGAGTATGCCCGATTTCGACCGTATACATTCTTCACGTTTAATTAAGCCAAAATATTACTCTCTATGTTCATCCCAGATCGATGACATAAAGTCAAGACAATCAGTATGATCATGAACAGAAAATCGAGATAATATTGTACGACTAAGCAAAGGGTGCCACTTGAAGAAAATAATTTGTCAAACTAAGCTGTTAGAAAAAGTCAAATAGGTATTAAAGTTAAATCTGCAAAAGCCCACACAACAGCCGGACAAGAAAGATAATCTCTGTCTAATACCAACTTGCAAAACTACGTCTCTTCCCTCAATAATTTAGTAGTACATAGACATGCATATCTAACTCAATGGAGACATCGTTGCCACGTGGATTTTTTGTCCACGTGGTATTTTTTAAAATTATATATATATATATATATATCTTTTAGATATTTTTTTAGGATGGTACTAATTTATACAAGTAGGATTTGGTGACTGCTAATTTGGCCAATCCCTTCACTTTTTGGAGATTGTGATTCTGTCAAAAATTGCTTCATGTTAGTGCTGCTGCATTGATCAAGTTAGTTTTCATATGGTAAACATTTACGTATTGGAGAGACTGGTTAGTGGTACGGATGAGCACATGTGACGTATGTGGTCTGAAGTGAACTGTATCCACTCAAAGTTGAGATCCCGCCTCAGTTGTACTCTTTTGAGGGATGATCTATCAGTCTTATGAGGAGAAAAAACACGTGATTTGAGATTTTTTTTTGGAAATAGCCTTCTAACTACTGTAGGTAGTAAAGAATTGGAAGATCAAGTTTTCTGTAAAATAAACTTGTAAAATAACTACTGTGGCATAATCTTTTCAAAAGTTTGCTTTCTTTTGTTAGAAAAAATGGCTTTTTAGTGCTAACGAGCCTTCAAGAAAGCAAACTTTTGAAAAGATTATGCCACAAGGATAGTGACTTGTTGAGTCTATTTGCATTTGAATTAGTTACTATAATGAATCGTTAATTGTCTGTCATATCAGTAGTTCTCTTTCTAATTTTTTTGTAAAAGCATCGTTTGGGATCTTGTAATCTATGTTTTTAAGAGCTTTTTATGCTCCGTTGAAGTGTTGAAACCTGGAAAGCCAAAGAGTTTTAACTTTATACAAAGAAGAAGTTGGTCTGTACATAGTAACAATCTTTTCCACACGTTAATAAAAGACATATGGTAAATATGTACGTAATTTAGGTAGTTTTGTTTTTGTTTACATGATTTTTCTAGTTAGTGTTAAAATAAATTGTGAAGTTTCTTGTTAAACTGGAAAACTGAAGGGGTTGTTTATGTTCGTGTCTTAATGCAGAGAATTCAGCGAGTCATACAACATGGGATGAAACTAGAAAGAAATACTTCAAACTTAAATTTCTTTTGTGAACAAAGACAACTGTTTCTTACATTATTTTTTGTGTTTAAGCTGTGCAGTTTATTGTTTGTTCTATTGACTTTTGCTATGATAAAAGAGCATAGTATCACAGGTTTTGAGTGCCAGCTCATTTATATCAACTCAAACACTATGGCATAATGCTAAAACAAGCATATACCAATTAGATGAAGGGAAAGGTATTTATGAAAAATCAAATACAAGATGAATCTTGTAATACTTCTAACTTAAAACTCAATCTTTAATCTTCATGTTTAAATATGGGTATATCACATGTGTGTATGCACACCTGGAGCTCAAAGAAATTAATCCTTTTAGGGGATGCAAAGCCTTGGGAAGTTGGTGACGCCGATTGTGAAGGATAAGGCAAATGAGATAGCGGAGATATGGAAGAGGAGCTTGGATGAAAGAGGAGGGGTTGAGAATGTGAAGGAGCCATATGTGCATACTTTCTTGCAACATTTGGTAACTTTTGGGATAGTGAAGGACGAGGATTTTGATTTGTACAGGAAACTTGTTGTTGGGTCTGCTTGGAGGAAACAGATGCCTAAATTGGCTGTCTCTCTTGGTCTTGGTGATAAAATGTCTGGTAAGTTTTTTTGTGTTAATGTTATATTATTTTGTTCATATTATTGCTTTGGCTTGAGAAACATGAGTAATTTCCCAAAAAAGCTAGGTGATAGCAGTTACTCGGTATCTGTGCTGGTGGGAGATGGTAGTACCCTATGTAATAGTCGAGGTGCACGCAAAATGGCCTGGCACCACTGTCATAAAAAAAAGGAGTACTTTGTCTTCCATAGTCTTATAATTTGATGAAATAAGCCTAAGTTAAGCGAAATGCATAGCGAGGAACTAGCTGTTTTTGGTGTGGTTTGTCTTCTGTTCAGGTGGAAAAGGTTAACATGTCATAAGTAAATTTTGGGGAAATTTTACCTGTGCTTGTTACTTTTGAGTAGGTCTGCAGTCGAAAGGTCTAGTTAATTTGGAAGTTTAGGTGCTTAGTTGCTTTGACTTGAGAGATCATTTTACTGTTTACCCTTTTTATTCATATCCGTGGTTGAGTTCGTTATGATATTTGTTCTTGGAGCTAAATTGGACTACTTTCTACTGATATACGCTATTGGTGTTAGAAAATCTTATTTTATAAGGTCCAATGTCGGATCAGAGAAGTGTATCTTTGCAAGGTAGCAGCTTCAACAGGTGTCTCCTTGCTAGTCGCAGGCTAAATGGTCTTTTATTTTATGCTAGTATGTTTTACTAATTTGAGAGCATTTGTTGGGGTAGTGCAATGGATTGGAGCTCTGAGATTTAGCTTTTTCCTAATGACAAGAGTCCTGTTTGATATATGTTGTTCTTTCATGGCTGGTCATCTCCTTGTTCTGGTGACTTAGTTCATATTTTTGTGCTCGAGTTTGACTTCTGTATTTTCTGAAGTAAACATCTAAAACAAGTGCAGCTGTCTTAGCACAGGTAACCTAATGTTTTGAGGTCATTGTAAGCCACATGATGTAGAAGGGATTTATATTGTTATCATGCTTAGTGTGAAACTCTTTTTAGCATAAACACTTCCTTGTCCACGCATCCAACATCTTCTCATTTGATGTGCGTTTTCCTTGCTTCAACCAGCAATCCCAAACTTCACTGAAATGATCTGAAACCACCTCGAAACTACAATATATTATTTTGGCAATAGGTAGGATTATCCGACTAGAAGTGAAAAATATTAATTTGTAGATGATATATTAGTTATATGAAATTTGTCTTGGTTTAAAATACTAGAAACAAATTACATCTTGTGATTAAGGCGTAGTTGAAATGAATCCTGGAAGCAAAGGGGCACTAGATTAAGCCTCATGCCCCAACAGTTCTTGTTGGCGTACTATTTGTGAAGTGTGATGGATGAAATATTAATCCTTAGTCCCCCACTTTGTATTGGATCATTGAGAAAGAACACTATGGAGAGCATTTTGCTAGGAGAGTACATTTTGCTTATGCGCACGAACCGACATTTAGGATCTTTCAGTGCATCCCCTGTTTTTCCTATCTGGTTGCTTTCATATTTGTACGCCATGTAATTGTTTTGTTTGTCCGTAGGTATGTTGGGTAGTAAGTTCAAGGATTCTCACAGTACCTTGTATGTGTTTAGTTGTTCATATTTGTCTATGTTACTCCAACAAATTATTTTTGGTATGTAAGCTTACTGTTGTATCCTCTTCTTGTCTGCATAGATGATTGAATAATTAATCAGCCGAGGACAGCAAGTTGATGCCGTACATTTCACTTATGAAGTTGGACTTGCTGATAGGTTCCCTCATGTTCCCCTTCTGAAAGCTTATCTAAAAGATGCGAAAAAAGCTGCTACTGCAATTCTGGAAGACCCAAATAATTCTGGTCGAGCTGCGGTATCATCCACTTCTTTTTCTCCTGTAATGTATATTTTCATCCAGCTTTCATGTATCTTGTTTAAATCTTTTCTCCACATTGTCTCAATTGTCTTGTTCTACGTTAGTGGTAGTTGGCAATATCTGTCCTGACTGTCTTTCTACTATCCTCTCCCTGCCCGTGAATGCAGCCAGGTTCAGTCTTTTTTTTTTTGGATAAATATTGGATGCTTAGTTTTGCCAAGATTTGTATATTTCCCTTTGTAATATGGCCAAATTTTCATGACATTTGCCATGACATAATATCCATTATAACAAATTTGTGGTTCATGATATTTGCCATGACATAATATCCATTATAACAAATTTGTGGATCATGACATTTGCCATGACATAATATCCATTATTAGGCCAAGGATTTCTTGGTATAAATGGAGGAGTTTCTCCTCATTTGCAAACACACCAATTCAA